TCTTTGTTTGGAACATTAACTGACCCTCGGGGGTTATTAGAGAGAGACTTGGGGGTCTAGTGGGTGCTAGTGTTGTCTGCTAACTGCAGCATCAGCAGTCTGGACCCACCAGCCGCTCGAGTGGAGGCGGCTTTGTGTTGCTGTGAAGATTTCCGACCTTGAAGCCCATGAGGCACGTCTGTCCTGTCCTGTAGAGTTGTGGTGAGTCAGAGTCGCGGTTAGGGAGGGAGTGGGGAGGGAGAGGTCTGTCCACTTTGTTGCTGTTCCAAGAACCAACCTTTGGTTCGTTGATTTGGGCTACACTGTGTTACTTCGGTTTCTATGGATTTCATTCACTCATCTTCGAGAAGCTTAGATGGATGGTCAGAGGACATTTTTCTTAGCTCCGAAGCTCAGGCCTCCATCTGTAGAAGGGGGAAGCCTTGGGCCTGTGGTGCGGAGGCAGGCCGGGGAAGCCCCGCCCGGATGGATGCATCCTGTGAGGCGGTATAGTTTGAGAAGTCCAACGCTTGACCATGTTGCAAGCCTTCTTGACGGTGTTGTCTGCTGCGACTCGGAGCAGCCTTCCTCCAGCCTTCCTGCCTCGGCATGTGTCCATCCCCGACCTGGAGCCCTCTTTCGGATTTGTTCCTACTGAATAACTCCTCTTCCTTCAAACTCAGTGCAGGGATTCGTTTGGGAGCCCTCCACCCCCTCCCCCATGCTTCAACCCCTTGGCTTGCCCGCCCCCGCCCCATTTATCATGGTCATCCTCTCTCGTTTCTTCGTGGGGCATGGCCTCCAGCGGGTGCCATCCTCCTGGTGTGGCAGGATGGGTCCTGAGCATCTTAACTCTCCTTCCGTGTGTGCGCAATCATATTTCACCAGCACCTGTGGGCGCTCTTGCACCGGTGATGTCGGGAAATGGCATGCTTGTGCCTCCTGGCCTCAGTGGCGGCATCCCCCAACCCCTTGCACACTGCCTCCCTCACCATCGGCACCCATAGGGTCCCTTCAGGTGTTCCTTTTCTGAACTTGGTGGGAGTGACTTTAGCATTGAGTTGGGTGTACACATACGCCCTGCAGTTGAGTTGGCCTTCGCTGTGGTGCCAGCCAGCAGCAGGGCTGCAGGAGTCTCTCACACAGATAGAGGGTGTTTCCAGGGCCGACACTAAGGTGGACAAGCAGGGGCTGATGATCAGGGGCACGGCTGGTGGCCATCGATGTCACACCTCACATAGCCCAGCCGTTCTGGAGTCACATTCAAGGCTGCGGAGACAGGATGCTCTCCCTTGAGGCACGTGTGATTTTGCTGACGAGACTCTTGAGTGCAGCCCCCTGACATGTACGTATGTGCTGCAGCAGGGAGCGCTGTCTGTTCATGCGCCATCCTCGCCGCTGCCACTGCTGCACCACTGCTGCAGCCACGGTGTTGGTCCAGCTCGTGGAGGGCCGCCTTTTTGCTGGCCCTCTCCTTTGCCGGGCTTGATGCCCTTCTCCAGGGAATGGTTCCTCCTGGTGGCATGTCCTGAGTCGGTGAGACACACCCTCACCACCCTGGCTCCCACAAGCACACCGGCCGTGCTGCTTCTCAGACAGTTGTGCCTGTTCTTTGGGCAGAGCGTGGCGTGTTGTGTTCACGTTCTCCAACACCATCGTTGGGAGGCACCCGCTTTTCCCTCCCAAGTCCTCCTTCCTCATCCACCTGTCACATGCATAGGAGGCTGTTAAAAATGCCATGGCTTGGGTCAAAGGCACCTTAATCCTCAAAGGCACACTCACAGTGACACACACATGCACACACACCCCCCACCCCCTGTGGGTTTCTTAGAAGTAGAAAGTTTACAGGAGTAGAAAGCCCAGTCTTTCTCCCTTGGAGCTTCTGGTGGTTTTGAACTGCCAACCATATGAGTGGATCACAGCCTAGCGCTTAGCCACTCCCCCCCCCCACCCCCTTAAAGGGCTTGTGTGACAGACTTAACCCATGCACCGCCTCCATCGACTTCTCGACCGCTGCTTCCATGAGAGCTGTGAACCCCCGAACAAAGAAACCCTTGACAACCTCTGCATAGTCTCTGTTGGTGGCGGTGCTGCTTGTTGGCCCAGATGTGCTGCCTTTTGTTGGTTTGTCATCCGTACTGAAAGTCTTGGCGTGTTCACACTCGTGGATCTTCGTCGTCAGCAAATGTTTCAAGCCTCTTCACTTTCAGCAAGCACGAGGTTGTGTTACCTGCATCTCCCCGGGTGTGGATGAGCCTCCCACCAATCCTGATGTCCCATTCTTCTTTGTCTAACCCAGCATCTCCAGAGATGGGCCCAGCGGGAGGATGGTACAAAGATAAGCCTCTGATGCAGACACTGCCTGATTGTAATCCTGACTTCTTCACCCCACAAAGCAACACAGCCCCTGGTGCAGCAACTGGCATGATACAGCCACAGTTCCTCATTCCGACCCAGCAGTGCTCTCGTACCAGCTGCTGGCCTCTGCACGGGCTGGTGGTCGCCCTGCCTGGTGTGGGCACCCAGCTGCAGCCCTCGTGCCACCTGCCCCGACCGGTGCTCTCGACCAGAGCATGTGCGTCTGCCAGCCCTGCAGGCATTAGAGGGCAGCAGGTTGGTGGGCCAGACACGGGAGCTGACCCTGTGCCCCGTTTGCTGAGGTGCGGATTGTCAACCCTGAGTCAGTGGCTGCTTGAGTTGGCAGGGCCAGCTGTGGGGGACATTTTCTGAGCTGGGGCTGCTTTCTGAATCCGTGGCCCTGGCTTCCTCCGCGGACTGTTGCCCACGGGCAGCTGTTCGCCAGCCTGAAAGTGGCCCCCTGCCAGCAGGTGCCGCTTACCAGGTTGTGCGGCCTTGACTTGGGGCACATCGACCTTCTGTACCATCTAGCTTCCTGTGTCGGGGACCAGGCATTGCCTTTGCCAACATTTCCTAGCTGTGGTTTTTCTTTTGTTAAAGAAACTGGGAAGTGGAGGACTGAAGCGGTGTCTGCCCCCACCCCACCCCCGGGCTGCAAGCAGAACTGTGCAGACAGGAGGAGGGTGCCGGCAGCTGCAGCTTGGGAAGCAGGGGCTGGAGTTCTGTCAGGGTCACGCGCTCTGGCTCCGCGTGAGCCATTTGGGGTCTGTCCCCAGCGTGGCCCAGCCCTCCTGTCCGTGTTGTGTGTGCTCCTCCGAGGGACCCAGGCACGGCAGGGGCATCGGGTTGGCATGGCAGTGGTGGCGCAGCCTGACGCTGCATACAGTTTCTTCATTTCAGCAAACTGCGGTTAGGTTTTGAATCAGCCTCTTTCAACCTTATTAATGTTAGCCAAACTAAAATTAACCCTTCCCCTAAATTATTCTCACGTAGACGAAGCAGAGTAATTACGAAAGTTAAATCAAAACAAAGCAATCGTGTACGTAAGAAAGAAAGAAAAAGAAAGATAAAAATCGCAGGCTGTGGTCACAGAAGGGCCTCCGCAGGAATTGCTCACAGAAAGCTGGTTTCCTCCCATCGGGTTCTGGAAGGAAACAGGGAACTGCCCTGGCCTTATCACCATCCCATGTCGGGAGCTCCCGGGAGCTGTGTCAACAGCTGGTGGCACCGCCCCTGCCTGGGACAGTGGTTGGGGACCCGACTCCTGACTGGGTTTCTGCGGAAGCGCCTCCTCCCCCCCAGAGGAGAAAGGGGTCTGTCCTGCACTGTAGACGGCCTTAGTGGCTTAGTCTCAAGTGTGCATTAACAGGGAAGGACCAATATCGGTTTTCAGACATGGACAGGAAGGGGTTGCAGCTCCTCATGTTTGGGCAAAAGTGTTGTGTTCCCTTGCTTGGCTGCTCTGAGCTCAGCCTCACAGTGAGCCCCATCCAGGGGCCAGAGGGGGGCCAGTGGTGTCCAAGTGGTCGGGTTCTCGCCTTCCTTTACCAAAGGCCTGGCCTCAGGGTTCGACTCAGCGGCAGCTGGCAGCTGCTGTGTGAAGCTGAGCATTCCAGCGTGAGACAGACCAGGGAGAAAGGTCCACAGCCCTGTGGTCTTTTTTCCATCCTTGGACTTTGTTGAAGCCCCTCGTGTATCGTGAGACACTGCAAAAACAACTTTTACATTTATTTTTCTTTTGCTTTATGCTTTTTGCTCCTCCCTGGCCTTGGATATGGGGAGACAAGGCCACTCCCTCCCTCCCGCCTGTCTCATGGTGGGCATGGGGCTGGGCCGCAGCGTTTACCCCAGGAGCCTCCCAAGGGGCAGGGTGCTTGGGCCTGGCACTGCCTCTGCACCTTATTTAGCTCCCTGGGCAAATTGCACCAAAATCACTGGTTTCTTAAATAAATTACAGCTACCAGAAAACTCACCCTTGTGGGAATCGGAAACATATTTGAAGGTCACTAACTTGGCTCATAGGATTGTTGCTTCAGATTTACCAAGTTCATTCCTCCCTTTCTGTTCCCTACCACTCACTGGACACAACACCAATGATGTAAAAATAAACCAACAGCCTCACTGCCGTTGAGTCAGCTCTGACCCCGTCAGGTAGAAATGCCCCGTGGGTTTCTAAGACTGACTTCCAGGGGAGTAGAAAACCACCTTGGGTGGTTTCCAAGTGCCTGACCTGCATAGCGGCCCAGAGCATAGCCTGCTGCAGCACCTAGGCACCACCGCGGAGCCAGCCGCACGGTGCTTGTCCTCAGCATGGGGCCCGTTTGCTGAACAAGGTGGCTCCGGCCCGTGGGGCATGGGGGGCTGTAGAAAGACTAAGAATGGGGCTTCAGGGATTTTCTGTGAGGTTCCCAAATAGTGTCTTGATTGTTCTTTTGATCGAGGAAGACAAACATCCTTTGGCGCGTCCTGTGTTTGCAGGGGAGGTAGAGATGAGTGGGCTTTCTCAGGGAAGGGCCAGCACTTGGCACGGCGATCTTTATAAGAGGGGGGCTTTCCGTAGTTCTTAAGAAGGGATTGCCTGCTCACTTAAATACGGACCCTCGCCCCTCAAAAAAGAATAAGGACGAAGACACTAAAAAACACGTTCCTCTTTGCTCTTCCAGGTTCTTTTGAATAATTACCAAGCAGCCGAAGACCACCCGCAAATGGTCCTCCTGCGACTGTTACGTTACATCATCCGCCTGGTGTGGAGAATGCAGTGACGGGCGCCGTGAGCGTGCAGGCATGCACAGACGTTGTGCACGTCCACACCGCGAGGCCGAGCCCCGCCCTCACCCGGTGCTGATCCTGTGCCACCAGAGGTCCCTCCCCAGCAAGGGGCGGGCGGCTGAGGATGCCGGGCCAGTCTGGACTTCACCTGGCGCATTACCGCTTGGCACAGGCTTCAAGTGGAAGGTCCTTGTGAATGTAAATGAGGGAGGATGTTCGGTTTTTGTTTGGTTTTTAATGTACAAATCATGGTTTTTCTTTTTTGGAAACGATTTTATGCAAGAATGGTGTTTTTACATGTACATGTGGTGTGCGTGCGTGTGTGTGTGTGTGTGTGTGTGTGTGTGTGTGTATGTGTGTGTGTGGGTTCTTTTTTTACCTTCTTTAATAAGGGCAGGTTTTTCAAAAAGGAAATGGAAACTTTTTGACAAACTCTTGAATGATTTTTGTACTAAAATCTTAAGAACCTATTGCCTACACTCAGAGGATTATGTAAACTCTGCAGTGGAGACTGAGCCGGCTACTTTATACAGCTGCCTTAGTTTATTTTTAGAGATTACTGTACAGCATTTTTAAACAGGGAGAGGTATGCTATGCCCCGTCCCCCCTCACCCCCCATGTTCCCACTCCCTGGCTTTGCCTCTTTGACTTTTTTTTTTCTTTTTAAATAGGACTATTATACCAAAAGAGTCCCTGTGACAATGGGGCGGGTAAAGGGCGGAGGGTCCGTAGCCAGCCTGGGCTGACCACCGCTCCCGTGTTGTAAATGCCCACTTACCTCTTTCAGTGCAGTTGGCTCTGTGCACGATTCCAGGCTACTGGTGAGTGTTTCTCCGGCCTCCTGTGTGAGCTCCCCTCGTCTGTGGACGCAAACCACGTGTGAACGTTTCACACCCATGGGACTGTTGGCCTTCCTAGGAGCAGGCTTGTCACACGTGAGCTGCCCTGTGGAGTCCTAGCTAGTCCCCAGCCCACCCCACCCCCCAGCCCCCAATGCAGCTCAGTCCAGCACAGGGTTTCGGACGGGCACTGCCCCTGCACAGTGAGCAGTGGAGTGGGGGCAGCACAGGCTGCCATCGGGGTCCGGCGTGCCCTGGCTTTTAGGCCAGTTAGAGTCCTCCCAACCAGAAGTGCCCCGGGATTTGGGTGGTGGTCCTCCTAACCCATCTTGAAGTGTAGGTTTCACCAGTACAGCAGGAGAGTTGGTTGGGCGGGCAGAAGTCTGCCGTAGGCCCTCAGCCTTCTGACAGCTATCCTGCATTCTCCATTGCTCTGTGACAGCCAGGTGCATCCCGGGCCTCTGTGCTTTCCCCTCCCCAGCAGGGAGCAGGTTGCCCCCCACCCCTTCCCCAGCCGCAGCACTCTGTCTGATAGCTGGTGGGGGACCCTGGATTGGGGAGTAGTGAGAGAGAGGTGGGGAGATCATTCTGTGAACCCTGTAATCCTCAGCAATCTTTTGGAAACTCAGACCATTAAGAAGGTTTTTTAAGACAAGAGTATGAGTTTTCAAAGGAGTCATGAGTGCCAACAGCGGTCGTGTGTGTGTGTTTTGCCGTGTGGAGGACCAGTGTTTTCATAGGGTTAAATACATGGAAAACTTATTCACTTGTCTCCTCCTAATTATATATATATATTGAATACTCACTTTTTCCTTTAGATAGAGACAGTTTGATGGCAAATATTGCCCCTCACCTTTTTTCTTTTTAACCTTTCCCTTTTTTCCTGAAAGTTGTCCTGTTTGTTTTGAAGCTGTGTTGGATCTTTGCTTGTGTTCTCGATGTGTCCTGAACCCCCCTGTAGGGTCACAGAACCCTGGGCTGTCAGGAGGGATGTTGGGAGGTCAGCCTCAGGGCCCGCTAAGCACACCCACCAAAGACATACTTGGTTCTGGGCCACTGTGCCCCCAGGATACCCCCCACCCCGGTCACGTGCTAGTCTGTCTCCCTGGCTGGAGCACTGTACTCTCTGTTCAGCCAGGACTGTGCCCCCTCTGGCGTGGCAGCCCCCCATGAGGAAATAGGCAACCCTATGAACTGTGCAAGTATTACCAATGGGATATCGGCGGGATGACAGCCGTCTGTACAGTGTGTGTCTGCCCCAAGGCCTCCCTGCAGAAAGTCTCCCCCCACGGGTATGCCTCTCCCTGCCTTCCCCGCCTCTATGTTTTTCTAGGTAGAAGAAGGAAATAACTAGATTCCCCACCCACCCCCCACTTTTTGAGAAAACTGAATGCGGGTTTTGTGCCTTGACACCCTCTGTCCACACGAGGTGTGTAGAAAGTGCCCTGTGGCTTAGACCAGAAATGCAATAAACACGCAGCGCCTCGGGAAGCTGCGTCTTCCCAAGGCTGCCCTCCCCCCTCCTCCCCTGCACAGCTGATTTTGTGAAGGATTTTCTCTGGTTGGGGAGAAACCAGTGTAAAATTGCTTCTGATCAAAAACAAATGTATAGCAGAAAGTGTTTTGTGCCCCCCCCCCTTTCCGGCTTCCCCCCTTCTTAATAGTGTATATATTTTGACTATTTATTAGATTAGGAGGTCATATTTTCTTTACCAACTGAGCCAAAATGTCTGTGTGCAATTGTGTTTCCTTTTACCTTTCTTGTAAAAATTTGTACAGCATAAAGAAGTAAAAAAACAAACAAAAAAATCAGTTTTTTTCCTTAAAATTTTCAGAATTGAGGATTGTAAATATTGTAGAGATTCCCTTTCTGTGTAATGATGTGTCCTACTGTTTCATAATGCTGTAACTTGTAAAAAAATAATGTATATTTATTTTCTGCTTATTTAATGCCTTCACGTTCTGAAGAGTATTGACTCCCTGCCCCACCCCCAAGCCCTGCTGTCCCGAGTGATGGTTGGTCAGCTCAGTGCGGGCCTGGCGTCTCCGGTTGCCAATAACTCGATGGTCAGATGGGCAGGCACTCTTGAGTTTCCTTGTCCTGTTAATGAAGTCCGTGTTGAATTGCCAGTGGGTGACTGTAATTCTGACAGACAACAAGATGCAACCCCAAGAGTCCCCCAGCATCTCTGTTGCAAAGCGGCCAGCTCCTCAGAGAAGCACATCAGGTTGAGTCCAGGCCGTATCTGAAAATGAAGCGTATTCTCAGCAGTTGGGGGTGAAATAGCCCCCCACCCCCAGACAACCTAGTGTTCAGAGAAATTTTAAAGGTGCCCGTTTCAGAGGTTAGCCTTGAGGTGGACCAAGGCCAGGTGGGGTCGTAGGTCCAGGTGAGTGATTCCCGGCCAGGACCCCCTTGGCCTGGCAGTGTGGCCGCTGCTCTTGAGAGTGACATCAGGACCACCTCATACCACGAGCCCCCCTTGTTGGTAACTGGCTTTTTCCCTCCCTGCCAAATGCCTAATCAATTCTTTGAGGTATGGACCAGTAGTGGTCCTTGGGAGCCAATTGTACAAGCCCCGATCCCCCTGAACCATGCCTGCGTTTGACCAGCCTGCTTCTTCAAGTGGATGCCCTCCCCCTTGGGTCTTCATCCTTTTTGAGAGAAGCCGGCATGGGGTGGGGGCACCAGTGGATGGACTAGGTGTTGAGATAGGAAAGCTCATGGAAGCTGTTTGGGAGACAGCTGGTAGCTCTGTGCAAAAAGGGTTCCCTCACCCCTGCTGACTTAGTGTGGTGCCTGCGTGTGCTTGGATGTGTTCACACGTGACGCTAGGTCAGCCCAGGCAGCCCCTGCTCTTCCGTGGACAGCATGTACAAGAAGCAGCCTCAGGCTCCCGGCTCTGTGTCTTGACTGCTTGTGTGTGGACTTGTCAGCCTCCAGAAGCTCCCCAGTGTAAGTCCAGCTTCTGTGAGCACTTGTTACTGTATCGAGACTCATCAGGTACCCGTTTATAAATAGCACTGACCTGTCTGTATACTGACTCATCACTAACTTGTTTCCTAGGACCCAGCGTATGTAGCATTTGTACTGCAATTTCCCTGGCTTACTTGTGTTTTGCACTGATGAATTTTGACAGGGTAATTGCCACTTTACTTGTGCAATACTGCTGTAAATAACTGCAGATTTTTTTAAGAAACTCAATCTTTTATGTTCTTGATGAATTTTATATAAATAAAACTTTCAACTAGTTTTGGCGAGCTGTTATGATTTGTCTCACAAAGTGGAGGAGCGAGCGGGTAGCCGAAAAGCCTGAAGCGAGTGTCTCCACACCCACACACTCATTCAGCGTGTCCCACCTTCAGTGGCGATTCTGTAATGCCTTGCTTGAAGACAACTCTGCCGTAGACTTAAAAGCAAACCACTCTTCAAAGGTTTGAAGTGGCTGGTGAGACTGCGAAGTGTCTGCCCACGGTCCTCGTTAGGTATGACTCAACACCGACAGCGAGGGGGGCAGGGGGGAGGGCGTATGTATCAGGAGCCGGCTCTGATCGGCATTGATTGATTGGTGGTGACATCAAGCCCTCTGGCCATCTTAACCCGCTCTCCCAGGGTACCGAAAACAAGAGTCTGATGAGAAATCTGAGTCGGAAAGGGTGGTGCACAGCACCTGCTCAGCCGGAGGGATTGCCAGGCGAGAACCTGAGCCCCTGAGCCCCTGAGTGTGAACAAATCTCACCTACTGAGCCTGGGGGATCCCTTGGTGTGCACTCAAACCAACCAAACCAAACTCAATGACGTCAAGTCGACTCCAACTCTTTACAACACTGTAGGATAGGGTAGAACTGCCCTGTGAGTTTGAGTCTAACATTTTTGTTTTGTTTTGTTTTTTCATTTTGGGGGTGGGCAAGAAGAGCAGACTGTAACTCTTTATGGGAGTAAAAAAACCCTGTTTTTTTCTGAGGAGCGGCTGGTGGTTTTGAACTGCCAACCTTTCGGTTAGCAGCCAACCCACTGTGCCAACAGGGTTCTGGGTACAAGCTGATTCGGGGATGACAGACATTAAAGCCCATGTAGGAAAGTGTGAGTAGCTGCTGTTGCACCTATGCACAGCAGGACTGGGCCATTGTGCTCTCTGGGGGGTGCCTTGCCTGAGTGCTTGGAAATAGATTGCCAGGCCTTTACTCCTAGTCTGTCTCTGTATGGGAACTGCAGATGCCAGTTCTGCATCACAGCTACAGAAAGCCTCCACAGACAGACAATGGGCTGCTATGCATTGACTGGAAATTGAAACCCGAGTCTTCTGCATGAAAGGCAAGAATTCTACATCTGATTCGGGAATAAAGGTTCTAAAATCTAAATATTAATTACGTAGTCTACCACTTTGACTCTGCAGTCAACAAATGATAGAAAAATTCGACTCCTGCTAAGCTTTCTTTCAAACTCATAACCTGTTAATATGTGACATATTCTTTTAAATAAATAACTATATATATATATATATATATACACACACACATGTATAGAATGTTAGTGCAATCAATATGTGACATGTTCTTTTATATACATATGCATATGTAATATAGGTGAATATATAAAATGAACCCTGGCAGAGTAGTTAAGCACTTAGTGGATAACTACAAGGTTGGTAGTTCAAACCCACTAGCTGCTCTGAGGGAGAAAGATGGGAGTGTGCTTCTGAAAAGATGGACAGCCTTGGACACTGGGTTGGCCCTGCACTGTCCACTTGGGGGGTCACTGTGACTCAGAATGGAACTGACAGCTGTGTTGAGCTGGGTTATTTACAGAAACAAAACCAATGGCATTCTTCTGCATAAGAAGGAACTTGATAGCAAGTAATTTTGTATCAAAGCCCTAGCCTGGTCCAACTCAAGTCCGTGGGGCTGATGCTAGCCGGAGCCCTCTAAAGATGCACGTAGCTGCAGGCCAATAACAGACAGGGGAAGCCGGAAGCCGGAAGGAAGCAGGGAGCTCACAGGCTTGTGAGCGCACAGTCATGTGCATCAAGGTCCCTGGGAGCATGGCAGGGTGCCAGCAGCTAGAGGCAGACAATCCAAGGAGGAAGGTGAAGGGCAAGATGAAGAGAGGTGGGTGTCTGCCTCATAAGAAGGCCACACCCCCTTGGGGGGACATCATCAGGCTGTGACCTGATTGGATAGGTTAGACTTCCCTACGCTTCCATCTGAGTAGTCGCTGACATGGCATGTAAGCACCACAACAGCAAACAATATAGATACATAAATACATAGGTATATTTTTAATGGATTACTACACTCAGGAAAAGCAGCAGTCCAATCCAATGGCCAATTGTCTTGAGAGAAATCTGGGAGGTCACTTTGAGGATCAAGGACTGCCTGAGGCCAGCCACGCTGTTTTCAATGGCCTCCTGAGCATGTGGAAAGCAGGACACTGAGTCAGGAAGACCGCGGAAGGAGCGTTGCATTTGACTTGCGTGTTGAGGAAGGACAGACAATGCCCCTGAGAAGCAGAGATGGTGAGACTGGTCTCTTGCTTTGGATGCAGTTATTGAGAGACCAGTCCTTAGAGAAAGACATCATTTTGGGTAAAGTAGAGGGACAGCGACAAAGAAGGAGGAAACTTTGGATGGATTGACAGTAGCTGCAAGGTGGCACAAGCATCCCAACAGTTGTGAACTTGACCGGGAGGGGCAGGGTTTTGTCAGGTACATCTGGTCTTTGTGAGTTGGAATTGACTAGCTAGCCTCTGACAACAACAATGTATATTTACTTGGGCATCCCCTTTCCCCTCAAAATCTATGAAAGTGTTTTGCCTACCATCTCCAATCCTACCTCCTCCCCAAGACAGGAGTTAGAGTTTTCCGGATTCCTCTCTTTGGAGAGAGGGGGCGGGTATGTGTGCGTGCGCACACTTGAATGGCAGTTGCGTAGTATAGAAAGGCTTGCCTGCATGTGGCCCTGACTTCGTAGCAGTTGTTGGCCACGGCAGAGTTCATTCCTGGGGTTCCTATTTGGGGACAGCTCTGGGCACCACAGCCTGGGCAGCCGGTGATCAGTTTCAGCAGACACGTCCACAGGCTGCCAGAAACGGCTACTCCGTGCCCACAACCACCAGCAGTACTGAGAAGACCTAACTCCCCTTTTTACACTCAGAGGGTGCTATCGGTCTGGTGGGTGGAGACTGGTACTATTGGTTGACTTTGAATGTTTCTACTTAATGAATAGGGTCGCTGTCTTGAGGCACTGACATTTGCCCTTGATCTGAAGACCTAGGCTTCTTTCTGATAAGATTATTTTTTTCTTACCCGATGATTAGCTGTTTAGATAATCTGGCTAAAAATCTCTTGCTTTTGGAAAAAAATTTTATGTTGATTTTCTTCCCCATTTGAGACTGAAAATATTCAACCACACAGAAAAGTTTTAAGAATTGGCCGGGGAGCACCCACCTAGATTCCACCTTTACTGTCTTCCTGTACTTGTTTTTATCAGGTGTCCGTGCCATAACTCATCTTCTTGAATCCATTTCCAAATCAACTGTACGCCCGTTGAGAGCTCTGTTGCTGTCGAGCCGATTCTTGTAGGAAAGAGTAGAACTGTGGCCTGGGGCTTCCAAGACTGTCCAGATCCCCTGACAGTCAGGGGAATGGCAACCATTCGTATCAATCTGTATGGAAGCGGACAGCCACTTCTTTCTTCCATGGCTCTTGGTGAGTTCCAACTGCTGACCTCCTGTCAACTTAAGATCTATAAACGTGTAGGGTGTAGGGGTGGTATTCAACTTGTCAGTCAGGTCACAGCCTGATGACCCCTCCTTCCGGGCATGGCCTCCTCGTAAGGACGGCCCTGGGACCTCCCCTTTTTTCGTCTGCCTTCACTTTCCTGCTGGCTGACCCCAGTTGCTGCTAGAGCCATGTTACCACCGCCATTGGATCCACAGGACTTTGCACCCAGGGGCCTGTGATCTTCCTGCATTCTGCATCATTGCATGTGCTGTGTGAGTCTGAAGAAGGACTTAACATATGGATACATCATGATGATGTGTTAGGCCAGGTTGACTTGAGAAACAAATCCAGAGACACTCAACGATGCATAAGAAAGAGCTTTATAACAAAAAGTAATTATTTATCTAGAAAACATCCCAGCCCAGTCCAACGCAAATCCGAAAGTCATGAATTTTGTCTGTGGTTCATTGCAATGGACATTAGCTCCCAGAGGTAAAACAGAGACTATTAAGACGACACACAGAGATGGATTCACTTTCCTCCTAGGTGGACACTGGGAGACTCTATAGAAGGGACACGAGCTAATTAAATTATTTGAGAAACCAAACCAAACTCACTTGCACTGAGTCCGTTCTGACTCACAGCCACCCTCTAGGATGGGGTAGATCCGCCTACCTCTTGAGTTTCTGAGACTGTAAAACTTTACAGGACTAAAAAGCCTCATCTTTCTCCCACAGGGCTGCCTGGTGGTTTTGAACTCCTGACCTTGACAGTAACAGCCCAACACTTATCCCCTGCACCACCAGGGCTCCTGATTTGAGAAAGAGCCCCCTGAAATCCTGATGAAAGGAGACTATGCAACACCTGGTTCTGGGTTTCCCTTTGCTATAAAGCAGATTATTGGGCCAGCTGGTAAAATCTGAATTACATTCATAGACAAGATGATATTCTATTAGTGCTCATTCCTTGGTTTTGATCATTGCTCTCTGGTTATGGAAGAGGGTGTCCTTATTTGTAGAGACAGACACTGAAGTGTGTAGGTCTTACTCTCAAACGTCTGGGGGAAAGGGCAATATGTATGCCTGTGGATTCTATCCTAAAAGAGAGGATGGTGGGAGAGGAGGGTCAAGCAAGTGTGGCACGTGTTAATGTTGGGGGGACCTGCATAAAGGCAATAAGGAAATTCTTTATACTAAGTGTTTACCACCTTGTTTTGTAGCCCTAGAGTCATATCAAAAGGAAATGTCTGTGGTAGTCACCTGATCTGGTGTCAATTTAAGGATTAAGAGTGTAGGGGTGGAGTCTAGGCTGTCAATCTGGAGATAGCCAATGAGACTTCTGTGTGGGCATGGCCTTCTGAGGATTCTGGGAAATCTGGTACTTCCTCCTTGGAGGCAGAAGACATCTCTTTCTCTCTGCTACTCCCTGGGAGACACTGCCGAAGACAAGCTACATGGACTCAACCAGACCTCGGAAGCCGGAAAAGCCACAGAGGTACGTTTGTCATTTCAAGAGTGCCCCCAGCACTTCC